TAACCGTGGTTCTGACTTCTGTTTCATAGACCAGTTTTGCCTGTCCTTTAATTCATACAGTAAATGTTCATACAGTACATATTCTCTTGTGTCTGGCTTACACATTTTGCTTTTGAGAGACTCACCCATGTTTCTGCATGGATTAATAGTTCATTCTTTTGTATGTTGGTTGGCACAGTGCACTGAATGGATATATTGATGAGTTGTTAGTCTATTCTTTTGATGTACACTTGTGTTTCCAGTTTTTTCATATAAGTAAAGTGACTATCAAGATTCTCATACAGGTATTTTTCGTGAGCATTATTTCATTTCTTTTGGTAAATAGCTAAGAGTGGAATTGCTAGATTCGAAGTTAGATATATGTTTAACCTTCTAGAAACTGCCAAACTGTTTACATGATACACTCTCAGTTGATGAATCTGATTACTCCATGAAATGAATTCTTTTATGTTTTTTGTTCTATGATGTTTTTGTCTTAAATTGCATTACATGCTACGGATACACATTTACTGATAGACATCTCTAAGATGATCATTTTAGTTTTTTTTTTTTTTTTTTTTTTTTAATGTTTCTGAGTTTCTCATACAATGAGAAACTCATTGGAATCTGGAAAACCTGTATTTGAAAACCTGAACTCTTTTATGGGTTTTTAGTATATTTTTTAATTGGCTTACTTCATATTCAATACACAAAAAATGTATAATGATTTGTGTTAGTTATGAAGCATGCAATTATAAAAGGTAAGTTTGTAAATCCACCACTCAATTCAAGCATGAACACATTTCCAAGAACTTTGAATAAGCCTCTGAGTCTCTCCCTGCTGGCTCTAAGGGAATTCACAGCTTTCATTAATCCTCTTGCTAAAATAATGCAAATCAAACAAAACAAATTATCATGTAATTTCTTTGCTCTGAAAAACTTGCTGTAATTTCTTAGTTTTCTTTGCTTTTAAGAGCTTTTTCAAAATGTTATAGGTTTTTTTGAACTTGCCTATTTTTACTGACTATTGTTTCAAAGATCAACCCCTGATGTATGTGGCTTAGTTTATTCACTTTTTCTGCTGTCTAATGCTCCTTTTTGGGAATGTATTATACATATTGTATTTCTAGTGACACTTCTTAATTATTGTTTGTGCTATCTGTCATCTTTTCACTGATGTATACTGCATCATTGAGGAGTCTGGTACACTCAGAATAATTTGAGCTAAAATTGTTATCAAGAAAAAAAATTTAAAAATGAAAACAAGCTAGCAGTTTCTGCTCCAAAAGAAGAATATATAAGGCCCTGGGGAAAATGGTGTAAGCCTATCAAAAGTATGATGCTTTGTCAGTGTGGCTGTAAAGCAAAGACTCCAATTAATATACCTCTAAATGATTTTATTTCCAAGATTGAAAAAAAGTTTGATTGGGTGGGCAGAATATAACTTTTAGTGAAAATAAAAGTCCTTTTCAACACATCAAGTTCAAGTTAAAAGACAACCTAAAATATTTTTCTCTAACTATTGAACTATATAATGAATCTAACTTGATAATCTAAAATTATTAATTTTGTCAACTTCCTACTGTTTTAGGGAAACACATTTAAAAACTTCACAAATGAAAAACGATTTTGATAAAATAAACAAAAACAAACAAAAGCCCACCCCAACCCCCAAAGCTCTATACCCCTTACAAATAGTTGTTTGTAATTCTATTCTACATATACTTTTATGTTCTTGGGAACAAATGAATGAATGAAAGTATTTTGTAAAGTTTTAAAGATTTTTAGTTGCACTAGCCTTCTAAAAATTAGAACTAAACTTTTGTTTTACAAGTATTTGTATCTCTTTTCTAGTTACTGAAACAAAATACCAGACATCCAAAGTTAAATGAGGAAAGGTTTATTTAGCTCACAGTTTGTAGAGGTTTCAGATCATAATTGGCTGGCTCCAAGACAGGGTGGGATGGTAGAGGGACACTGCAGAGGAGAAGCAGCTCAGGGCAGGCAGAAGGTAGCAAAGCAGTAAGAGAGGATCACAGCTCTTTCTGTCCCTTAGGGCAGGGTATAAACCTTAGGGCAGGTAGCACTCACACCCTTAACCCTAGTCCCCTTGATCTGAGCACCATGAATCAATTGCAACATCACACCCTCTAGATCCAGCCACCTCTGAAAAAGCCCCCCTCTGACTGAATGAGGCTTCATCAGTCAGGGGGCAACATCTAAACAAAAGCTACATTAGTATTTAAAAATCCTGAACACCAAATATATGAAAACAGAATATTGATATTCTTTTGCACTTAATTAAATTTATTTTGCTTAAAGTACTAGGATGGATCTGTAAACACTGAGGCCAATCTTATGCAAAAGACTCTGAAGAAATATTTAAAAATTAGCAGATTGAATTATTCATGTGTGGTCCCTAATTTTAAAATGATGCATGCTAAATTTAAGATTCGATTAAGTTTCTTTGTTATTGTCTTAAAACATCTAAAACTGGAATACTTTTATTTAAAAATTAAGCTGAATGTAAATTAAACAATCCCTCATGCATAATTTTCTTAAATTAAAAAACAAACGAACAAAAAAATTTCTCCAAAACGTTATTTTCTTTCTGTACTACTTACTGAGTTAAGCCTAAAATTCCAAGGACAAACTGATCCAGAAAATAAGTACAAAAAATAAGGGCTAAGCCTCCTTCACCATAGCTTTTGATCTGTTTTTAACTGCTAACTTAAGAAATCGTTTATAAAAGATGGAGTGCGCAATGTCATGCAGAAATCTTTTACGAGTACAGGGCAATAAACCTTCCTTTCCTATGCCCCAGGTTCCCTTTACACAGCCAGCCCGATTGTCTGAAATGAACACTTTTCCTCCTCGATCTAAGTAAGTCACAACTCTCCTACTGGCCATCTTCTTTTTTATTTATTATTGACATCAATTAGCCTGAGTCATGCAACCCGCCCACATTAAAGGCGACACGTGGTCCAATCACTACTCTTTTAAGTCCACGTATTTTCAAACTCCTCTTTCCAGCCATTGCTGGGTTGTTTCCCCTTTCGAGGACCTGGCCTCCGCAGCGTTTGTTTATTCGATGGCAGTTGTCGGGAAGTCGCGCCTCGGGGAAATATCTCGGGCACACTGGAGAAAAGCACGGAGGAGACTCGGGGCTGGTGTTGGTTTGCTAGTCACTTACGTATCAAACGAAGCAAGAGGGCCGTGCGCCCGCCCGGGGTACCCGAGGCAGGTGCGGGTGGGTTTCCGCAGTGGCCACCGATCCCGGGTGTGCGCGGCATGCACGCTCCTGAGTCGGGACTGGAGCCAGGAGCCGCACCCCAGCGGAGATCCCGGCTCTCACCCCTTCCTGCGGGGCCCCTCGGACACGCCCCCCAGCTCCCGGGCTGCAGCTCCGCGCGGTGCACGCGCCCGAGCCGCTCCCCGCAGCCGCCCACGTGGTGGAGCTCTGAGCGGCGCCAGGCGGCGGGGAGCGCTCGGGGCGGGCCGCGGGTCGGGGAGGCCCGGCCAGCAAGACCCAGACGAGTGGCTCCCCAACCCGGGCCCCCACATTTCCTCCCCGGAGGAAGGGAGGGAGAGAGGGAGGCGACACTCCAACGGCCAGCTCTCCCCGGACCCCGCTGCGCCCTCTAGCGGCCGCTTTGGGGACGCGCCCTCGGCACGCGGGGCCACCGAGCTGGGCCCCCCTTCCGGGGATGGGGGCCCGCGGCGGGTTCTTTCCCCTTGCGGCCCGGGGCCGAGCCTGGCGGGCCGCGCCCTCCCCTCCGCCCTCAGCTCCGGCTTGCCCTCCGGAACTCCGGACGCCCCGACTGCGACTCCGCCGACGCCCCAGGCTCGCGTGAAAAGTGCCCGGCGTAGTAGCCCGGGGGTCCCCTTTCTCCCAGGTGTGCCCCGCGCATGCCACGATTGCGATTTCTAACGCACGGCGAAAAATGCCGCCTGCACACACTTATTTATTTATTTTGCAACAGCTGCAAGAAACAATGAAGCTTTTCAAGAACCGGGGCAACGCGCCTCCAGCCGCACTGTTGTTGTTTTCAATGAACCTCTCCGGGCCCCGCACTCCCCGCGCCTTTCCTCCTCGGTCCCCTCCTTTCCCCCTCGGTCCCCTCCTTTCCCGTCCCCGGCCTTCACCGCCGCGGAGCCTAGGCCAGCGAGAGGGGCATTGTTTTTGGAGTGCGGCGGGCGGGGAGGGCGCGTGCGGGGCAGCCAGCGCAGTGCGGGTGGGGGCGGGAGCGCGTGGGCGCGCGCACGCGTGGCTGTGAGAGCGCGCGTGTGCCAGTGCGGGCGGGGAGGGGGGCTGGGGGCGGTGCCTCTTAGCCTGGAGCCCCACGCCCGGGCTCCGCTCCGCACGTCCCTGGGATCCGGGGCTCCGGCTCTTGGCGTGCGCCCGCCTGGGCCGGGCCCTCGGCGCGACTCGGCTGCGGCGGCTGCCGCCGGAGTGTGCGCGCGGGCACGTGTGCACGGCCCCGGGAACGCGCGCGAGCCCCCAGTGTGTGGCAGCGGCGGCGGCGGCGGCTGCAGCGGCGCGGCGAGGTTGAGGCTCTTGTTTACCAGCATTAACTCTGCTGAGCGGAAAGAAAAAAAAAAGGGAAAAAACCTGAGGAGGAGCGAACGCACCGGACGGACTCAGGAGAGGCGAGCGAGCGAGAGGGACGCCGCCAGCGAGCTGTCCCCGGCGCGCCCGCGGCCGGCGCTCGCAGACCCTCCTCGGCCCCGCTCGCGGACCCCCCCCCCCGCTCCCGCACCTTCCACGCCCCTCCCGCGCGCGGGGAGCCCTGCGGCGCGCGGCGCCTCGGCTTTGACCTTCAGCGCGCCGGAGCCCCCGCGCGAGGAGTCGGCGGGCGGGGGCCGGCGCGGGGCGGGCGGCGGCGGGAGCCCGGGCGGCGCGGCGGGAGCGCTGAGCGCGGCGCGGCCGGCCCGCCGCTTTGTGTGCGCCCTGGATTTGGGAAGGAGCTCGCGGTGGCGGCGGCGCTGAGGGAGGAGGAGGCGGCGGCGGCGGCGGCGAGCAGAGCCCGTAGGAGGAGGGGGGAGCCGCTCATTCATTTTTCCTCCGCATTTCTGCCCCTCGCCGGCCTCGCCCGCGACCTAGACTTCGGGGCGATCTTGCCAACTGCGTCGCGCGCTCCCGCCGCGGAGGCTTGGGCTCCCGGCCGCGCTCCCCCTGCGCCTGGGGGCCGGGTGTGTTTGTGCTCGGCGCGACGGATTTGGGCTTTGCCCCCTTTGCAGTTTCCTCCTCGCTCCTGTTTCTCCGGGTTTGAAAATGGAGGCCGACGACGCCGACAGCCCGCCCCGGCGCGCCCCGGGTTCCCGACTCCGCCGAGCCCTGGGCCGTGGCTGCCGGCGCTGAGTGGCCGCCCCGCGCCTCCCCGTGCGCGCTGCCCACCGGGTCGGGTGGCGCCGCCTTCGGAGTATTGTTTCCTTCGCTCTTGATCTTGAAGGGGAGCGAAGACCTGAGTTGGAGACTTTTTTTTTCTTTTTCTTTTCCTTTTTTTTTTTTTTTTTTTTTTGTGTGTGTTTTTTGAAAAAGAGGAATTTCGTCCCAAATCAAAGGAATGAAGTCTGGCTCCGGAGGAGGGTCCCCGACCTCGCTGTGGGGGCTCCTGTTTCTCTCTGCTGCGCTCTCGCTCTGGCCGACGAGTGGAGAAAGTGAGTCTGTGCCCGCCGCCCGCGGCCACTGCGGGAACTTTTCCTCCGAGGGGCTGCGCCCTGTTTGCGAAACCCGAGTTGCCACCGTTGCAGCTGTCGGGGCCCCTGGGCTCTGGAGTGGCGGGGCGGGGCGCTGAGGGGTTCGACCGGAAGACACGAGCAGACCCGGGGCCCACGATCCTGGTTTAGGAGCCTCACTGGCCCCCGCTGCCGAGCATCTCCGCGCGGGAAGGGCCTCGGGGCTTTCTCTTTCGCCATCCCGGGAGCCCAGTCCCGCGGCTGGGTGGGTGGGCAGCGCGCACCGTCTGACAGCTCAGTGGTCGAGCCGGGCGCAGGGATTTTGGGGGAGAAATTGTACCCAGGGCTCCCCTACTTTCGCCCCTCCGAGGCGGACAGATCGCTCTACGCACATCGGCGACCCTCGCGCTGCGCGCAGAAAGCGGTGACGGGACCCTTGGCCACTTCTGGCGTCCCGTTAGGGCAGACGGGGAACCTATATGCGGGATACAGGGGAGCCGACCTCACCGCCGCGATAGAGTCGACCTCGAGGGGGAGGTGTCCAGTGGAGAGGCCCCTCAACCCCTGGACGTTTCCAGACATTCTGGCGCGGCCTCCTGTCTCCCAACTCGCTCTGCCCCTCGAACTTATTGGGCCCCCTTGTGCTTTCCTATCACTGTTTTAACCGCTTGGCCATGAATTACTTCCCTTGCCCCGTCCAGGCGCTGCCCCATGTGGCCGGGATGCGGGGGCGCCCCTAGGGAAGAGCGAGGTCAAAGACCTCCATCGGCCAGGCTCTTCCGGGGAGCGCGAGCGAATTCCCAGTTCCGAGTGTTCTGGGACGGCCCCTCGGTCTCTACCCAACCCGCAGACGCTTTTTCTTCCGCAGAGTCTGCGGGGTGTCAGGGAAACGTTCAGGTGGGCACCAGTGGCCGAGTGGTCAGAACCTACGTGCGTTTGGCCACACTTTCTCCAAACGCGGGATGTTGCTGCGGCCACGGGCAGGACACCTAGACGCCTGTCCCTGGCGAGAGACGTTGTGCGCTGTCATTTAAGGAGCGTTGGGATCCGTGGCGGCGGGTGGGGGGTGTTTTGTTTTGAGAGTGGGCAGCCCTGGCCTCGGTTTTGTTGTGGCCAGAGTTGTGTTGCGCTGCACCCCCCACCCCCCGCCCGCGCTTCCTTTGTACACAGTCAGTGAGCGGTATCGCTGCACACTCGTATCGCTTGCAATCGGATAGCTTTTGTTTTGGTGGTGTCGGGTAGGGGTGGGGAGCGCGGGGAGGGAGAGCTGCTCCCCGTGGCTGCTGGAGGCCGCAGAAGGAGGGGGTTTTGTTCTTCTCGAAAATAATAAAGTGTGGCATGGCATGCTGGTACGTTCGAGATGCTAGGGTAGCTTTTACACGATCGAAAGTTTTAGGTGCCGAGCCGGGGCTGGGAAGGGTGAGGGCGTGCTGGTGAGTAATGGTTGCCTAGGGTATGCAGGTGGTGCCTATTAACTTTGAAAAATCACGACCCAGCCTTAAAGAGTGAGGGAGAAACCCGAGGCTGCGGGGGTTGTGCGGAGAATTTAGGAAGGCATTTTCTATAAACAAATCCTTAACCGTCTTGTTAGAAATGAGCCCACGATGGTGGGAGCAGATCTCTATAGGACTCGCGTGTTCACTGCGTACAGGAAGACGCAGGCGCGGGCCAGACCCTCCACGGATCCCGGCTGTCCTGCTCTTTGTTTTCCAAACTTTGAGCACACTGAATTGGGCGAAGGGCTTCCGGCTCCCTTGTCTCCTCAGAGATTTCCACGGGGTCTGGGGGACAGTGCAGGGTTTCAGACCTTTAAAGGCTATAGTTTGTATAGTTTGCAAGACACTAGAGAGCTAATCGTTTATTATGGCAGGCCAATTGAGTTTTATTGTTTAATTCAGGTTCTGAAATTCAAAATCGCACCGATGGCCTTACTTCCCCGGGGCGGGGGCAGTCTGGGGATTTAAAATCGGATGCCTTACTGTTTGGAGTGTTTATCAGTGAGACAACTCTTTTTAAAAGGTGGCATTTTCTAAACACGGGCAGGGAAGGATATCTTAATGTATGTTTGTGTTCCTGTGGTGCCCAAGCCCTTCCCAAGGGCACTTTTAAAATAGTGAATGCCTTAAAATATGATGGAGGGCAGAAGAAGGCACCCCCAGATCCTGCTTATAGTTTGGACTCTCGCACCCTCTTTGGAGCTTTGAGGATCCAGTGATACACTTAAAACACATACTCAGTTTTGTAGGCTGGAAGCTACCCCAGAAGTAAGTGGCCGGTCCTCTCAGAGATGGGCTTCCTTCAGCTATTGTCTCAGTGTAGTTAGGAAGGTCGGAATGCTGTTGTTGGTCAGCTGTAGGTATGATGTTGGCATGCTTGGGGACAGTAATTTCTTTCCCAGTGGGACAGCCTCGAGGTGAATGTTTTCTCTCTGACGGTAGGTTTAGCAGCTCCTGCATCAGATGCAGCCATGGACATGTGTGCTTTGTATCACCGTTAGGTGAGCAGATCTTCTAAATAAGAGAGGTTGGGACGTTGTGAGTGACTACATACTCTGATGATTGTTTTCTTTGTTTAAATCAACGTGCATGTTAGACATTTTGTGGCCTTCTCCGAAAAAGGCTTCAGTCATCTTTCTACTCCAGGTTCAGTAACATCCTACTGTCGGAGAAATGTAGGTTCCTGAAATGTTGATGTTTAAAGAAGTTAGTTTTGTTTTTGTTTTTGTTTTTCTTAATTACCTACCAGAAAGAACCCGGAATAAAAACTTTCAAAAAAGTACCTTACTACTAAATTATAGTTTACTTTCTCTGGAGGGGAATAGCAGTAAATGGTATTTTATGGAGGGGTGATGGATGGGTCAGGACTTGAAGATTCAAAGGTCTTGTGTTTGATTTGTCCAAAAGATTGGAAAAGCCCAACTGTTAAGAAATACGGGAAGGTTGAACAGACAAGCCGTGACAGCTTTAGAGAAAGTGAAAAAAGCCAGCTACAAAAGATCATATCTTGTTGATTCCATTTCATGAAATGTCCAGAATAAGCAAATCCATAGAGACAGAAAGTAGATTAGTGGTTGCCAGGGGCTAGAGGAGGACAGAATGGAGAGAGTGCAAATGGGTGCAGGGTTTCTTTCAGGGTGATGAAAATGTTCTAAACTCCGTTCGTGGTGATGGTCACATAGGTTCGAATATACTGATAGCCACTCCAGTATACATTTAAAACTGGTGACTTTTATATGTGTGAGTTATATCTCAATAAGCTGTTTTTTTTTTTTAAAAGAAATATACTAAGGTTGAAATTATACTATATTGTGCTACCTTGGACATAAAACAAAAGCTAAAATGCCTAAGTAAATTTGATGTGCGGGTTGGGAACCCTTTAAAATTGTTTTATGAGTTTTTTCAGATCTGTGAATTCTAGCAATACTCTAAAGGGACAGATGAAGTTGTAACAGCAAAGATTCAACACCATGAGACGCAGGGAAGCAAGGAATGAGGGGTCTTGGTCTTACATAGTTTGAGACAGAGAATTGGATTAAGAAAACACAAATGTAGCCGGCGTGGTAGTGCACACATGTAATCTCGGCGCTCTGGGAGGCAGAGGCAGGAGAATGGAAAGTTCCAATCCAGTCTGGGCAATTTAGAAAGTAAGTGAAACCCTGTTTCAAAATAAAAAACAAGTCAGAGAGGGGCTGGGAAGGTAACTGAGTGTGAAGGCCGAGATTCAATCCCTAGTACAAAGACACTGATGCTAGAGATACATTGGCAGTAAAATCTTCATGAGAATGTAGAATGATGTTAGCGTTTTGGAGGTAGAGAAGTCTGAGGCTGTTTGTATTTCCAGGATTATTGTGTGTGTTTTCCACCAATGAAATACTGCGTTGTTTTAAGATGGTAAAGGATTAAAGTCGTTTTTGATTTGCCATACTAACCCCAAGTGGTACTGTAGTAGACTAGGGATGTCTCATTATAATGCAGTGATTTCTCTTTTTCTTTTTTCTTAGTATGACCCTTCAACGGTTCCAGAATCTGAGCAGGAGGTATTTTTGTAGGCTATAGTAGTAGTTTCAGGCATATAGTGATTTTCATAAAAAAATTAAATATGCAATAGAACAAATGACAAGGGATTTTTGTTTTTATATTATAATGCCTTTGTGCAAATTCACCTTGCTCTTTTGCCAGTATAAAGACCTAGAGAATAGTTCTTTACATTGGTTTTTGGTCTTTGTCTAAGACTTTACTAATAAAAATGTTTCTTGCTTCTGCTATTTTTGCAAGATCCAGAGCTGTAATGAAAATCAACTGTATCATTTTCACTTGTTGCCTTAGCTACCCACTCCCTGTCCCCCTTATGCCAAGGGGAGTCTTTGAGGGATTGTAATTTCCTTTTTATTTTGGTTTCATTTGTTGTGTAAGGATATGCTGCAAGAGGCGGCTGAATCCAGCCAGCACTTAGTGGGCACCTCCTGCATGCGAGCAGACTTTGTGCTCTGCAGCGCCTGATCCTGCATAGAAAGAGGGCTTTGCTTTTGTTCTGCATGAAAGGAAGTCACTTGAAAATTCACCTGTTTTTGGACTCAGCATAAGATATGCACTTTTCAGATAGAAAGTGAGCAGCCTTGAAAGTCCCTTTGAAGACATCTCAGTAGAGTTGACACCTGTCCCTAGTGTTGCCTGCAGTATTGTTTCTGTATTTGTATTTTCCCTAATATTGGAATGCCACCGTGGCTCATGACATACGAAGTGTTCATCCACGTCGTTGAGCAGTGCTGCCTTTGTAACACTGGGTACCACAGTCCTGTCCCAAAACATGCAGCATCCTGGCTGCCTTTCACCCTAACGTAGGTCTGCGTGCATGCGGGTAGCCTGGCATGCTCCGATCTGTAAGAGGAGGAGGCAAGTGGGTTGCAAGTTCAAACCCAACGTAGGCCATTTAATCACTTGGCAAGAATCTGTCTTTAAAAAGTAGAGAAAGGACTGGTATGC